TTTTTTTTTTTTTTTTTGTTTCGCGAGCTGGCCACTGAAGAATCAAGGCGACAACTTATTGTAGTGACTTCGCAGACGCGTTAGGGCCACTATGTTGGCTTTTCCCTGAGCTACGTCCGAAGCGAGTCCAGCTTGCTTTACCTGCACCCTTACGCCGACCGTAAAGCCTTTGTTGCTTTTCGCCCTGATCCAATCCCTTTCATCCTTTCACGCATAAACAGATCTCTGATTATCGCGAGGCCAGACTTTGACGCCCCCCAAGTCATCGCTCCTAATTCCGCTACGCGCGCTTTCGTCTGCTGCGCTCGGCGTCCTCTACCAGGGAGTCGCAAGTCCATCTTCCTCCCCCAGCAATTCGGAAGAGCGACACAGACAAAAGTACCGAAAGCTACGCAAGCCCTGAAACTAAGGGAACGGAGATGTTGGGTCAGATGATCGGGCGCAAGCGAACCGCGAGCGAAATGGAGGACGACGCTTTTGAAAAACAAGGAACAAGACAGGGTTCTGAAGGAGGATATACTAATGAACCCGACCCTTCCCTGTACACGGTCATTTTCCCTTTAACGCCTCGGCGCAAGAGAATTCTGGAAGAGAAGGAGAAGGATGCCAAAATCCTCCGTGTCTACCCGGAGAAACTGTCGTACTTGGCAATTGACTTTGCTGTGATACCGGGCTCCCGTTGGGATAGCCTTCAGAGATATAAAAATGTAATGGGTGAGTCTCAACCTATCCAGTGGCCGTGTCCTGTTCTGACGCGTTTCATACGTATACAGTGGGAGCCCACAATGGTACCGAAATCGCCATCGGCTCCTTCGCATATGTCAATCGCCACTTATCTCCGCCACCTGCGCCTTCGGAGGACGCATCAGAGGAGGAGAAACTAGAGCATGACAAGGCCAATTACTATGTGGCCCTTCTATCTGAAATCAGAGCCTCCGGCCCCTCAATGGTCTCCTTGCGGGTCTTCTGGCTGTACTGGCCAGAAGAACTACCCATGGGACGACAGCCATACCACGGCAAAAGAGAACTGGTGTTGAGCAATCATGTTGATATCATCGACGCGGAAACATTAGCGGCGATTGCTGAAATCAGCCGTTGGGACGAGAATGACGACTCCCACGAAACGAGGCTTGGTGAGGGATACTGGCGCCAAACTTATGACGTCAGTAAAGCGGCCCACGATCCTCGGGCGCTCAGCAAGCTCCAAAAGCACTGCATCTGCAGAGGCTACGAGAATCCCGACCTGGAGATGTATAAGTGCCCGGGCTGCCAGACGTGGAACCACGAAGCTTGCTTGATTACCGCGATGGAACAGAGGGCGTGGGAGCGGTTCGAGACGGGGACTCTGACCAACGAACTTGGAGAGGGGGCAGAAAACGGAACTTCGAGTCGAAAACCCTCTAAGATGACTCAGCGTGCCCTCCGGTTGATATTGAAGGGCGAGAAGCCATGGGCAGGTAAACTGGAGGGCAAGATCTCTCGAGGCGACGAGATCGGCGTAGATGAAGACATCCACGTTGCAACGATCCGGCAACTGGTGCCTCAAGGCAAGGATGGACCCGTGGTATGGCGCATGGAGATGAATTGCCTGCAATGCAACCAACCGTTAAACCGAACACTAGTACGGAAGTGGCCGGGTATGAGCTGAGTATGCATTGTATCGATCTTCACTGGGGTGGCACTCGCATTTCCACAACTTCCCTGGCAGGGGAATTCGATGGGTTCCAATCCGTTTGAGCACTTGATTGTGGTGGTGAGGGCTGGATAGCGGTCATATAATGAGTCACAAGACAATTACATGACGCGGGACCGGCACCACGAGGAGCTGAATGGATTCTTCACTGACCTTCTGTTTCTGGCGCATTTTCCACCACCTGCAGCATTCTTTCTTTGTAAATCAACATAACTATTCTATTATCCTTCGGACTTCCTGGTACGCCTGGTGTAATGGGCGCGAGAGGGGCCACCTGAGAGCCTTAACATTGGTTGTTCAGCCTAACAAGACCCTCACTTTTCTCTCGGTAGGTCGGACTCAAAGGCCTTGACCGTCGAAGTGCAAACCTCATACAAGCATAGCTATCGTTACCAATACTGACCCATTACTCACCACAGCCACTCCGCCTATATCGACATGTTTCCACAGCCCGACCACTTCGAAGCCCTTGCTTCCTCGCGATATTTAGAGTCTCACAACCAATATCATTACCTTGATTCACAGGGACGACGGACCCCAAAGAGAAAGTCGAGGCGGCAGCCGAGCAGCTCGAGCCGGAAAATGGTGCTCTGCCGGGGGCAATTGGACCTCCAGAGAAAGCGGCCGTACAGGATGACACCCCTTCACCTACGTCATCCAGCGACCCAGCATCAGGGAAGTTTTCCAGACCAGGCAAATGATCTCACCGTTGCGAAAGCCGCGCGACCCGTGGGTCACCGGTCGAGGACTTAGCTCTCGAAAAGCCAGCGCTGGACAGAACAAGATTCAGAGCCTCCGGGTTCTTCAAAAGTCGAACTGTCACTGTCATATTCTCCCTATGCATGGCCCTGTTTCTGGCTACTCTGGGCGTTATCATCATCACTATACCTAGGTTGGTAGTGCACATCTGCTTGCAAACGCTGCAAGCGTCCGTCTGTGGGGCAAAGTCTTCGATATCCTCAACGCAGCCCTCCAATCCAAACGTCCTTACTTTCTCCAGTCTGTTTGCGTACCCCCCCTACTATTTTTGTTCATCTGTCAGGCTTGAACCGCCGAGTTTATATTCACTTAGGAAGGGGATCAATGGGTCTCGGTAGGCTACAGACTCTCCTAGAGTCCAATTTTCTAGTGGATAGACCCGAAGAGTAGATTTATATATATAGTTATATACTGTATATAAAAGAATCGCTAATTGTCAGCAAAAGACGATTTGAAAGTATAGATAACTATGATAAACGTCTTCACAGCTGCGCGCGAGATCCGACGATGACCTACGCCGTGTCTCCCTGCTAAGGAATTTTCGGCGCCTCCGCCTCTTCCTTGACAATCGTAAGTATGTCGACGAGCCAATTCTTCCGGTCACTGCTCGTCTATGAGTTTGACTCCAGATCTAAAATTTGACCATATGATCAGAAAAGCATCGTTTACTTGATCGAGGTATAAGTTGGCGTTGGTCGTTACCCTACCTTGCGCAGCGTTGACTATTGATAGATCGCCGAGCCCCCTATATCGTCGTGCCCGTCGCATGTTAAAGGTCAAATTCTATGAGCAAACGGAAAGGCTCGGGGAAATTGGTAAACTAGTTTTGGCGGACAGATTGGTGAGAGGCATCGATCGATTTCTTTCGAGGGTTGGTGTGGTCGAGCGATATTGGACGTCCATCCAAGAATCTGAGAGCCTTCATTTACAAATCGAAAGATGGTCATCTGGATTTGATTCGAGGATGTCCCTGCTAGCTATAGATATTCTTGACCTTTCTCGAGGAGCACACGACAACTGTACGCCATGGGAAACAGAACTATCGTTTTGACTACGGTTTCTGCCAGAGGGTGCTGGGGTTGGTGCGGTATCGTATTTCGAACTGCCCCCACTGGGACCGTTAAACACACTCTACAGTCCTGCAACCCAGTTAGCGGATGCATGAAGAGTCCTAAGCTTAACAGAGGACTTGCCTACGGTGTATGATCGAATATATTAGGACCTCGCAGCACGGTAGATTGCGTAAGCGTACGAATACTGGGCCCATGTCGAACCTCGCTCGTCAACTCCTGTCGCGGACGAGGCCGGCTAACCTACAAAATGAAATTCTCTGAAGTAGGACGAGTACGGAGTCACTTATAACTTCGTGGAATCGACGCGATCGATCTCGATTTTCCCTTTTGGGGTCGTCTTGCTGAGCCTCTGTGAGGCGAGAACCACCGCCGTCGTGTAAGTCGTGACGTGCTCATCGATCTACCGAGAATCGTCGAGGCCCTCGTTTGGTGCGAACCAACTTCTCTTGAAATTTATCCGGACACTGGCTCTCTATGTATTTCAGAGTCTGTTTTCGGTGATGAATCCGATGTTTGGCAATAGCGTGGCTAGCTAGTAGGTTCTGCGCCGATGGTCCGATTTTCAAACTGAAGGGCGACGGCTGAATGGCCTCGCCTCCCCAGAAGATCCTCGGACCTTGCCAGCAGTCGCCCAAGAACCTGGATCGTCCAGGGAGCCGGAATGCAGAGCCCGTGGCCAAGGCGAAGTCGACTCCGCTTGTTATTTATTTTGTCGAACTCAATCAGTCACTGGGCGTTGTAAATTATATCAACTCGCGACGTACTAATCTAGACCTCCACAGAGGCCAGATGAGTGCACGAAGGCGCGGTGCTCCGCAGATTTCCAATTGATTCACCAACTGCTCAAAGACTTTCTTGACTCTCCGAAAAGTTGACAAAAATCCGAACAATTCCTCATAATACCGACAACTCTTGATCGAGCATCTACTACTTAGTTAGAGCATCTACCGGCGATTCTTTCACCCCCTATAAGGTGGCGATCTCGTTGGGATTCGTATAGCATTTAAGCCGATCGAAATCATCCAGATTGATCTCTGTACTTTTGATTGTATCTCATCCCCGGGAAGAGGGGGGGGGGG